GCGATTCTTCGTGCGTGCACATCATGAGAGAATCATGCAGAGCTATCCGAAAGGTGAAAAATCGATCTGCAAGGCCGTGTAAACGAAAATTCCACGGAAATCGATTCACGGACAAAGAAAGTGATGACGAGTTGAATACTAGTAGTTCGGCAAAAAAATTGTCGACTGCGGATAGCACATTAATTGATGAAGGAATTGAAAAGCATATTCGTCCAATCTACGAACAATTGTTAAAAGACGAATTATTGAACAGATGTTTAGGAGGACACACTCAAAATTCAAATGAATCCTTCAATTTAACGGTGTGGCGAATGGCTCCTAAACACTTGCATTCTGGAGTAAAAATAATTGAAATCGCAGCAAACTTGGCTGCAGACATTTTCAATGAAGGATATTTAGCAGTTTTAATTACGATGCAGATGCTAGACATTAATATCGGTCAGCAATGTAAAATGTTTGCCGATACCGTCGATGCGTAACGGATCTCGAGGGCGAACAAACGTGAAGCTGAAAGCAGCAAGGAGGCTCGGACAGCTCGCAGATTGGAAGAAATGCAACAAAATGAATTCTACGAAGAAGAAAATGGGAATGTTTATGGAGCAGGAATCGCTGATTAGGTTTTAACCTATGTAAGTATCCAATAATTTAAGACTTTCTTATTCAAAACTTTGAAACGCATTTTCTCCAATTTTTATTTTTACGTTTTAACACAATTGGCGAGCACGATAACACGAAAACTATAAGAGCAATCAAAATAAAACAAAGTGTATTCTTTTCACAATAAAATTATCTTCAAGTTAAACTAAAAAAAAACGTTTGTAAAAAAAAATTGTTTAACAATTTTTAGAGCCCATCAAATATAATTGTACGTATCGTAAAAATGCACATTTTTCTTTCAAAACGAAAAAATTGTATATTTTTCGAGTTTTTCTATATTTTTTTTAGTTTAAATAGAAGAAAAATATATAATAAATTAAAAATCGTTGTAATATTTTCATTCCAGATAAGAAACACGAGCTTCATCTTGTCCGCCAATTAGCACCAGTAGTGAGAAAGTATTTTACTACTTAATCTGGGACGCCGCCATTTTGTGACTTTCTTACCCGAAAACAATTTTTTTGTACATTTAAAATGTGTATTAAAGTATCCCTAAAAGCTAAACTAGTCTAGTTATTTCTATCCATATAAAAAAAATTATTTAAATACACCTTTTTTTGACCTTCTAAACCGGGATCCCCCCTTAATATCGGAAAAAAGATAGATTTCTTATATAGAAAAAATCTGGCCAGTAATTAAGATGCAAGCCATACATTTCAATTTCTAAGCGATTACTAGACAGATTTCCTAATTTATAGAAATCTGTCTAGTGCCTGGCCAATAATTAAGATGCATGACATACCTTTCAATTTCTATGCAGCTACTGGATTAATTTTTTATTATGGAAGAATATGTCTAATCAGTACATAGTAACTAAGACGTAAGATTGACATGTTAATTTCTGTTTAGTCACTAGATAGCATCAATTAGATAAGTTTTCTACCTAGTTACTGGATAAATACTAGACACATTTTCTTACGCTTTTGAGGCTTTCACGGGTATTTTCTTCAATTATATTAGAAGGTTTGCGGGTTATCGCCGTGTCTTTCTTCATTATTAATACCAACGTTTCGTGAACCATGCCGTTCACTTCATCAGAGCGAGGGATGTACTGATACTGATCCGCTACCTTAGGGGAATGTCTCTGTATTTCCAAGGCCTCTAATAGAGGCCTCTATTAGAGGTCTTGGAAATACAGAAACATCCAGACAATTTAAACAGAGATTTAGATTACAATGTAAGCAGGATATGGAAGACTGCCCTCTCGACAGATCAAAGAAGTACTCCTTCCACCCCTCAACATACACCCCCCCCTCCCAACAGCGTCTACATAAAGGGAGTCCCCTAAGATAGCGGTTCAGTATCAGTACACCCCTCGCCCTGATGAAGTGAACGGCGTGATTCACGAAACATTGGTACTAATAATCAAGAAACTTTACGGGGAGAGTATCCTTTCCAAGGTAAACATGTTTACCAAACTTAGGACTTCCCTTGCCAAAAAACTATCTAACTTGTCATTCCTAAAACGCTGTAGAGATAGTAATATTGTCACAAAATTTCTACAAGTCAAGGATCATTTAGACACGCGTCAAAGAACATTCTATGTAGAACTGGACGATTCCTCACTAAAAAACGTATCCATTTCACTAACAAATAAATAAAATCTCTCAACAGTACTTTAAATTCCACTTTCTTCTATGTTCCAAACTACGACAAGACATTTGGCAAACTCTAGACCGCATCACTTACGAACAACCGCAAAACATCCACACGCAGTGCACAGAGCAGCAGAAGCAAAAATTTAACAATTTGATCTCAAACAAAGGGCTAAAACCTTTACTGTATGCATTAAAAAACGTGTCAGACAAGAGCCTGTCCCCGTGTGACCGAACACTCCGACTATATATGCAGAACCGTCCGCACTCCCAATCTTATTCACGGTCGCCACCTCTTTTAACCTCCAAAGACAAAAGATCGAATCTCTATTTACTTTCGTTCACTGTGCCACTGTCGGTCCCCATAAGTCAGCGCCTGCGTGTCTACCATAGACATATTATAAGATAGACCCAGCATCCATATACCTTTCTACAGTATATGCTGGGTTTGGCAGAACGGTGCGAGAGGCAAAATATCGGGGTAACCTATCCTTCTCTGCGCGCGCATCTTGACAGAATCAGAATGGCTGACTACGTCGTCGTAAGAGTCGTCTGTATTCTTTGCACCTATTATTAATAATTGTATTTGTTGTATCACTTTATTTCTTCAGTAATATTATTTGTATCAATAAATTATAATAATTAAGATGTATAAAACCAATAAATGTGTTACGCGTATTGTACATAGGTTAAAATGTTTTACTTACATGTGAAAGGATATTTTTTCCTGTCCACCAGGTTTCTTTTGATATCCACATGCACTGCATGTTTTCATGATCAATTTTTTTTTACCAAAAAAAACGAATTTACCAAACAAACACAATTATAATGTTGGGCAAAGAATACTACGACGACGTAGTATCAGCCATTCTGATTCTGTCAAGATGCGCGCGCAGAGAAGGACAGGTTGCCCCGATATTTTGCCTTTCGCACCGTTCTGCCAAACCCCAGCATATACTATAGATGCTGGGTCTATCTTATATGTCTATGGTGTGTCTACCCTTTTTAATATGCATCAAAATATATATTACGTACTAGTTGCAACTAATTCACAATCAATAGAGGATCTTGAGGAAAAACAGCAGAGAACCGATTTGCAACAAAACACAATGTGATATATTTAAACAGTCATACAAAATGATGAAAGTTTGACGGTATAAGGATAAAATTGATTAGTTAAATTCGTACGAGAAAAGGTACATTATCGGCTCAAACTGTCCCTACAAATAGTCTCGAATATTCTCGCTGTATGAGCCTTCTCAATACTCGCGTACCAATTTCTTTCATCAATCGCCAATATGCTCTTTATGCCTGCGCATTGTCGCGCTTACAATTCATCTAGGCAACTATCACTAACGCGTGTAATCTATTTCGTAGTACTCGATACAATCCCTTCTAATAATCTTGATACAATACAATGTAATAATCTCGATACAATACAATCTAAAAATCTCAATACGATACAATCTAATAATTTCGCGCGGAACTCGTATCCTCCGTTTAAATTTCTAATCACTTCCAACCTCTCTTCCGTCTCACCCAAACTCGAATCTCCACAATCAGAGTGTCTATCTTCTCTCCTTTAGACTCACACAAGCCTTCTCATTATCCGCGGTTCGGCCAAAATCCTTTTTCTATTAAGACTTTCTTCTTTCGCGGTTTGCGTACGACTACCCCTTATCTTTTCGGTTCGCTTCTTACTATCTCATCTCTCGGTACTCGTTCTCACGCTTGCGCCGTTGTGAGTTTCGCATCCTTTGTCTTCTCATACATTCGTAATCAGATACTCTCGTTTATTATAATCTCAATACATTCGTTCGAGTCTCTAAACGACCTATCCGCGATATCCTCGCGTATTATTCTCTCGCGTCAACAATCTTTATCTTCGTCTATCTATCTGTCTCGGTAACACTTATTATACATTGACTATCCCGAATTCTTTGCGTATTCTATTAATAACACGATCTCCTTCTAAATTCTCGAACATTCTTTTACATTACAATGTCCTTTCCACCTCGGTAAGTATAACATACATACATTCTTAAATCTTACAATATTTACTCAGTCTTGTCAACAATTCTCTTCAGGAATTCACGGTAAGTATTCGCCTTAACCAATTACTTTGATAACAATTAAATTACTCTATTAATTGATTTTACTCTTTCAGCTTTTCATGCTTTACAGGTTTCCCCTATAACAATTCTCATTATGCGCTCGCATAACTCACAATGCTATATCCCTCAATTCACACCCTATTATTTATTTAACTAATCTCGGGCATCCGCAATTCTACTCCGATCGGTGTAAAATTTAGCATACGCATTCTTCGTTCTATTATCCATCGATTTACCGAACGGATTGTCGATCGCTTTATTTTCACTAATTAACAATTACGGGGCATCGATGCTAATGCATCGATCCGCTCGATACTTGGTTTGTATACTCACTACCGTCCCTCCTTGAATTTTACCGAAGGCCTTCCACTCTCTTTGCGAAAACGTTACTTAACAAATTCGGGGCATCCATAATTATGCACCGATCTTCGCGATACTTCGTATGCATATTTGTACTGATGTCTACTTTAAACTGACCGAAGGAAAATTTTCTCTTAACAATAATGTTAATTAACTAATTCGGGGCATATGTATCCTTGCGCCGATCAACATAATACTCAATGTACAACTCAGTTGTACTGCTTGCTTGGATTTGACCGAAGGAAAATCCCACGCCATCAACAATTCAAATTAACTAAGTCGGGGCATACTTAATCATATAACTATTAATCTCATATTTGATATACGCACAGTCTGTTGGCCTTACTTTGACTTGACCGCAGGAGATTATTCTTTTATTCAGATTATTATTGAGCAGTCTTCGGGCATGCCCATCAATGCGCCAATCACTCTGATACTTGGTCTGCACATAGTCTGTATGTATGTATGTCGAACGTTTTTCGAGCGAGGTGTCGTAATCTTGCCGAGATTCATTCGGCCACATACTTGAAGGAAGCTTGAGCCACTCGGGGCCTTGCCACCACAGTGAGCTCTCCGCGAACGAGGAAGCGGTAACTCCGCGTGATGCTAGATCCGCGGGATTCTGATGAGTCGGAACATGATGCCACTTGGCATCAGGTATTAGAGTTTGCACATCGTTCACGCGATGCGCGACAAACGTTTTCCAGCGAGATGGAGATTGGCGTAGCCAAGCGAGAGTGACGGTTGAATCCGTCCAGCAATGACATGGAGTTGTCGAAAGTTCTAATGTCGTTCTGGCAAACGACATTGTTCGTGCTAAAAGCGCAGCAGCGCATAATTTGAGTCTTGGAATTGTCAATGGCTTAAGAGACGCGACTTCTGATTTTGCTATTAATAGCGAAACAGTAACTGATCCCATGAGCGAGATCACTTTAAGATATATGACAACGGCGTATGCGACGGACGATGCGTCAGCGAAGCCGTGAAGCTCACAGTGACTTGTGTCGGAACCGAAGGCAGTCCATCGTGGCAAAGAGATATTACGCAGTTGAATTAGCTGCGTGTGATAATTGTGCCATTTTTGCATGAGAGGGGGTGGAATTGGATCATCCCACGAACACTTAGTAGCCCACAATTGTTGCATGATAATTTTTGCAGTAATTATGACCGGAGCAAGCCACCCGAGCGGGTCAAATAATTTTGCTATAGTAGACAGAATTTTCCGTTTAGAATCTGGGATCGACGTGGTAACTTCGACTGAGAATTGAAATGTATCGGTTGCAGGGAGCCACGTGACGCCTAAGACTTTGAAACTTTCGTCGCTTTGCAGAATTTTGCCTTGACTGAGACTCTTTTCATTGACCGGTAGGTCGTTGAATAACGTAGGGCAGTTGCTTGCCCACTTACGGAGGAGGAATCCACCTTTTTGTAACAATGAAATTAATTGATTGCGGATTTGCCTTGCAAGCGGCTTATCATCCGCGCCGAAGATGCAATCATCTACATAGATTTGATTGCGTAAAACTGATTGAGCAAGAGGAAATTGAGCGCCTTCGTCTTGCGTCAATTGCTGAATCGTGCGAAGAGCGAGGTATGGAGCACACGCCATACCGTAAGTAACAGTAAGCAAGCGGTAGTCTTGCACCGCTTCGGATGATGAAGAGCGCCATAAGATGTGCTGATAGTCTTGATCGCGTGGATCGACTTGAATCTGCCTATACATTTTTGCGATATCGGCAGTGAAAACATAAACGATGTTGTCGCCATCGAAGAATTACCGAACGAAGGTCGGTTTGTAACTTAGGACCGATCATGAGATGATCGTTAAGTGAAGAGCCGTTCGATGTCGACTGAGATGCATTGAACACGACGCGCAACCGCGTGGTGCTGCTATGCTCGCGAATCACCGCATGATGCGGGATGTAAACTGATTGTGAAGCAGAGACGGGTTCGTCTACTTTCTTCATATGACCGAGATTTTCGTATTCCAGTAGGAACTCTCGATATTCGGATGCGATATCCCTTTTATTTTGAAGACGGCCTTCAAGCCGTGAAAGAAGTGATGAGGCGATGTGACGAGATTCGCCTATTGCAATCGGAGGATTGGCTTTGAACGGTAGCCGTACGACGTACCGTCCATTAGAGTCACGAGAATGAGTTGCTCGGAAATGTTCCTCACAACGTTGTTCCTCAGGAGTGAGGTATGATACTTGCGGAAGTTCTTCGACTTCCCAGAACTGACGAATTTCGTCATCGAGATTGTCGTGCAACGTGGTATGATTAACTGTCACGTTAGACATGTTTGAAGACGAACTCGTCGAAATCGGACCAGACATGATCCAGCCGAAAATGGAATTCTGAGCTGTTGGCTGATTAGAGGAACCTGAGCACAGGCCCGGTAACAGAACAGCACCGTATAGATCAGCGCCGATGATCATTTCGATCGGATCGGCACTTGAGGGCTGCGGATCAGCCCATGGCAGGCCGCTTAAATGAGCGAGAGAGATTTGATATGCTATTTTAGGCGGCGTGTATTTAGTCAGAGAGCGCATAATAATTGCGGTCGTTGAGTATGACGGACCCTTGCCGGTCTTAGATGATACCGAAATAAGAGCAGCATGTCGTGCGACGGATTGCGTTTCACCGATTCCGGTAACCGAGACAGCAACGCGTGTTCGCGATAACCGTAGCCGTTGAGCGAGATTTTCACTAATTAAACTAGTGACAGATCCTTGATCTAACAATGCGCGTATGACATCTGTGCGACCAGACGAAGAACACACCTGAATCCGCGCGGTAGCTAATAGAACACGAGATTTGTCAAATGTTGTTTTCGTAATTAAATGTGAAACGACGTTGTTTTCATTTGACGTATTCGTTTCGTTGGATTCAAGGGAATTCTCGGTCGCGCTTGATGTCGTCGCTTCGTGAAGCATCGTATGATGCCTTTGTTGGCATTGACGACAGTTATGTTTACTCGGACATGTGTTCGCGAAATGTCGAGCGCTTAAACAGTTGAGACATCGTTTAAATTTGACAATAAGATCGCGACGCTCGTTAACCTGTTTCTTCTTGAAATCAGGACATACTGACAAGAGATGATCTTGTTTACAAAGCGGACAATGAGCTCCGGTAGCGGTCGTCGTGTGACTTTGCACGGACGACTTGCTCGGTTTTGTTTTGACCGTACTGGTCGTTGGAATATTCTCGAACGCTCGAATTCGCGATGCGAGAAAGTTATGAAGATCCGTATACGACGGATATTCCGTTTTATCGCCTAAATGTAATTCCCATGCTTTACGCGTGGCTTTATTTAATTTTTGCACGACTAGATAGACGAGCAAATCGTCCCACCACTCAACTGGACGACCGAGATTTTTTAACGCTTGAATTGACATATTAGCTTTATCTCGAAGCGACATAAGATCCTGCGCGGAATCGGTATTAACGGCCGGTAGCGTATGAAGCGTATGAATATGTTCCGACACTAATCGACGTTTATCATCGTAACGCGCGAGCAGTACATTCCACGCGATTTTAAAATTAGCTTCGGTCAAAGGGAGATTACGCAACGCGTCGCGTGCTTCGTCCTTTAAACATGAATAAAGGTATTGCAAGCGCGTAACATTCGACAACTCGGCATGATCGATAATCATGGAGCGGAATTGATCGCGAAACGTTTCCCATTCCCGTAAATCGCCGGAGAATTTCGGCAAATTAATGCGCGGTAATGTAAGAGATTTTTCGGATTTCTGTGATTGACTCACGGATAACCCTGGACTTGATGGCGCTTGATCTGCTTCGAGAGAGGCGAGGGCGTCGGAGATGTAGTCCGATGCTGCGAGATAGGCGTCCTCCAATTCGATGTAGACATCCTCCTTGAAGTATTTCTCGGTATCCTTTTGTTCCTTGGTGGCGACTTTGAGCAGTTGTGCGTGCAGGAGCTCGCATCGAGCGTAAGTCTCCTTGAGAGTTTGAAGGCGATTCCGAACTATGCCGTACGTGTGATTTGCACGGCCGATCTTCTTAAAGTTTTCCAATGCGCGTGTGACAGAGCGCATAGCTAATCGCTGCTGCGATAGTAATTCTTCCATTATGATTTTGAGAGGTTTCCGTAACTTGGTATGCTCGAAACGGAAATCTTGCGATGTGCCACGTCACTTACGTTCACGAAAGTGAACGAAGAGTCACAATGTCCCTTGCTGTTTATCCGCCACGAATCCGGCTCAAAGGACCAGAATGTTCGATGTGGTGTGAATCGCTGTTTCGATCTCGACTGAGATCTCGAATGACGGAATGGATTAGTGGACTGGAAGGATGAGACCACTGAGCACTCCTCTTTTCACTTGTTGTAAGCAAGCTTTATTCACAGTAAACGCAGTGTTATTCGCGTGGCACGACGAGAGCGACGATTAACTGCTGTTAATACGCCGATACTCATCCACGACGGTAGCCGTGATGAGAAGAACAAAGTAACGAGTCGCGGTAGCGAACACGTAGAAAGAAAGCTGCTGCTTTCGTCGAGTAATTGAGAGCACGACTTGACACGGCAAGTACTGATTTGTGTCTGAGGGGAGAATCGCGCTGCGCGATTAGCGCGACGAATCGGCAGGACGACAGCGACATCGGTTTCCAAATATGCGGCTAAATTGTAGTAATGATATTCGCAAGACGGCGCGGTGAGTGCGACGAAAGATTCACGGACAGAATCGATGGATGGCGCAATCGATCCTTTATTCGGCTTTTGTAGCTCGAAACTTATCCTATTCCGGAACAAATGTAAAAATACCAACATTTTATGGTCCTCGTAAATCAAATCGAGCTATTTGGACACAAAGAGATCTTGATAACGCTGTCCAAGAATTACAAGATTAAAATGTTTCTATAAAAAAAGCTGCTTTGGATAATAATATTCCTAAAAAAACTCTCAGAACTCGATTAAAACAAAAAAATTTTATTAAAGATCGTTAGGGAAAAAATGTTATCTTGGAAATGAAGCTGAAAACCAACTAGTACAATACATTTCTAAACTTTAATCAGCAGGATTTGCACCTTCTCGAAAAAATTTAAGAAAAGTAGCTTTCAATTTATTGGAAAAAATGGAACTAAAACATAAGTTTAATATCGAGAAAAGAATTGCTGGATATGATTGGTATAAATCATTTATAAGAAGGAATCCTACATTAAATATTCGAAAACCCGGGCCAGAGGAACTTCAAATGCACGTGCAAGTTTAATGAATAAACAAGAAATTAAAAATTACTTTCATTTATTAAACAATTTTCTCGAGGATAAAAATTTGATGAATAAGCCAAGTAACATTTACAACATGGATGAGGCAGGTCTGCAATTAAATAATGAACCTGATATAGTAGTCGCTATTAAAGGCAGTACAAATGTTCAAGTATGTCAATGTACAGAAAGAGGAGAAACTGTGACAGTTGTAGCTTGCTGCAACGCGGAAGGCACATTCTTACCACCGTATTGTATATTTAAATGTGTTAAAAAGCAGCAGATATGGGAGGAAAACATGCCACCAGAATCTGTTATTGAAATGAGAGAAAGGTATAATTTATTTTATATTAAAGTATATTACTGAATATTACTGTATATATGGGGCATTCCAAGTCAAGTGGGCCACCCATTTTGCGAAGTTTCATGGATTTCATTCATGTTGCTTAAACTTGAACAGTTTGATGAATAAAGAACTCTACGCCGAATAATATACCTGTAGGCTAACTGTTTGCCGAACTGTAGAGCCGTCGATTTTTAGGCTTTCTCGTCGCAGCGCTCTGTTCGCTTGTCGTTAGTGGGCATGAAAGGCAAGTTTGAAAATAAAATTTCCTTATAGAAAATTGAACGCTCTGTAAGGTTTCGACAAGGTTAATCGAGGGGTAGAAATAGAAACGTAACCGGTTAAGGAAACGATGGAAAGATGTCAGGAATAGCTTGAATGATTTAGAATGAAACACACGTTAGTTAAAAACACACTTTATTGCAGAGCGTCTAGGACGCGACTTGTTAACGTATTCTTGAACTTAGAATAATCTGTCGACCAATCACACGGTCTCTTCTCCATAGCATAGCGCCACGCTGTGGTAGGGAGTCTGGTAGCGAGCGCATTGCCAACTTAAAAACTATGAGAAGCGAGTTGTCGCTTATAGCTCGGCCATTCTGCAATAGCGTTCGTCCCAAACGTAACTTATAATTTTGTGATAAAATTTGAAACAATATAACCAAAGAATACATACAATGGATTACAAATAATAATTGATTAAATGTTAACAAAACAATGAGTAACTTCGTCTTATATGCTACTCTTAAATCTAGGCGGCAGTGTTATGTAAAGACTTAATATTTATTAACCGCTACTAGTTGCAAAAACGAAAGAAAATTTATGCAAAATCTTAAATTTAAACTTAGATTTAATTTTAAAGATAATGAGACTTCACAAAGAAACTACTGGTTAAAACCAGTGTCTAAGTCTATCCGGCGACAAAATAGAATTGTAGGGCCTCGATGTAATGTTAAACCCTGGAATATCCTTGACAACATATCGATTATGTGGCAGTACTTTGTCTATCATGTAAGGACCTTTGAAGTCCGACTTCAATTTTTTACTTTCACCAGGTTTAACGACGTCATCTTTAACGCGTACATATTCGCATTGTCAGCAACTACCTAACTTTCGATTTGCACGGTGTTAGCTCGTCGGAATATTTGTCCGAGGATTCGAAAGAAAAAACTTATGCTAAATCTTAAATTTAAGTAATATAGGATGATAACAGGGGCAAATCTGAGAGTCAACGCAACTTAAAAATAAAAAATAGCAAGTATATTAAAACCTCTAAATATAATTAAAAATTTCTGTATGCATACATTACATTACATGTTTCGACTCTTGTATTGAGTTTTCATCAGATGTCCGTGATATCGCAGTTATAAATAATTACTTCGCTTTGTTGTCGTGTATTTGTCGATGAGTAACCCTCCGAGAGAACGAATATGCTGACAATAGATTGACGGATCGAATGTTTGCAAATTCGATATTCTATACAGATCATTATAATCAATTATAGCAAATTAAGTATTCAGACATTCTCTCGTTGAAAATTAACTCACCCTTGCATTACTCATGACGTGTATCTTAATGTTAATAAAATCTGATCCGTGCGGTTATCAATCCGATGA